GTCAAAATGGTCGATAGGGATAAGAGAGAGGAACCGTGGCAGACGGCCATTTCTATCTCTTTTCAATGGTGTAATGGGAGAGAGAATAAGAGGGGGATTGGCCGTCTCCCACGGACCTCTCTCTCATTATTGTTGACCACATTTGATACATTATTTATAGCGTTTTCGGCCCGATCGGGTTTGCACCAACCTGGGCTGGATTAATCCTATTGGTTGACGTCCACCCGTTCTACCAATAGGATAGCACAAAACGCCATTAATTCAACCCAGGTTGGTGCAAACCTGGCCGGGCCGAAAACGCTATTAGGGACTAATATACGGATCGCGCAGTCCATTCTCTATGTCTTTGGTGAAAATTTAGTCAAAACTTTTGGTGGGGTCATAGTGACCATCTAGAGTTAAGTGGAACGTACCCAGTAAAAAATTTTTCATGTATAAAGATAGTGAAATTAGGATCGACAGTATTTCACATATATGTATAATTGATATATATGTGAAATACTTAATACAATAAATACTGTGATTAAATAAATACCAATTATATGTGAAATACGTAATATAATAAATACCAATTATATGTGAAATACGTAATATAATAAATACCGTGTATTAACATATTTTAGTTTATTTTTTATTAAAACGTTTATACGTTTACAAAAAAAGAATTTCTCAGACTGATAGCGAGATGTTTTTACTAAAAATTAACGTACTTTTATATATTTTATTATCCGGTTAGGTTATTAATTTTATAAGTAAACATTGAATTAACATTTAAACTATAATTGTAATCATCGAGTTTCAATAATAAAAAGCCAGTATGCAATAAATGCTAATAGCATGCGAGATATTGAGATTTGTATAGCTAAATATAAGCTATTTTATGTACATATTTTTTTCTAATTTCAGACACATAACTTTACTATTTTGTATTTTTCAAATTGATATTTTCGGTGTTGACAGCTTTCAGTGTTAACCTGTATCATTAATCAATGTCTCCTTCGTATTCTTGTGAATAGATGTAAAATTAATTAGAGTAGAAGAATAGCAACATACAAGCAATTGAATATTTTAACTAAATTCGTCATATAAAGTGTTTAAAATTGCAACAAAATCGACTGATTTTGGCACATTTGTATGCAGCGAACTGACCTATATCATCGACGAGATACTATTAAAGATCGTAAACCCTAAGTAAATTTTCGGCGATACAAAAAGGGCCCCAAGGACTCGGAGGTAATTGAAGAATGCTGACGTTATCGACAATTGATAAATTTGTTATTATTAACATAAATATTTAGCTAATACATTATTAAATTTATGACTTTTTATTACATAAATCACATAAATGCTCCGTAAATAAATATGTCTACTTGTAAAGCTATAATATCCTATATATTGCCGAAAAATTATAATTTTTTCTTTGCAGTTATCATCTCTGTTGATAATAAAACTTTGACGACTTTAATACTGGAATCACAATTTTAAAGAAAAATTGAATATTATTGAGATTTAAATAAATGTACGCACCGATAAACACGTTTACAAAACTAATAAATCCGAATTATAAATTAGTATCCTAAAATTACAATATTATCAGTTTTTTAGTCTTAATCACTTAAATATTAATAAGAACGAATTCTCGTAAGGATGTCGGTCTTTAATAGTATCTCGTCGATGCATATGTGCAAGCTGCAGTACTCTTCATGAATTATTTGAACAAGCAGATAGCCACGTAATTCATTCTCGTATTATTTTTCGTAATATAATCATATTATTAGTCAAATAAAGCAACTCGGGGAAAAAATGCTACGAAGAAGAAGACGCCATTTTATTTATAATTTTTTCATAGAACATGCGTTATTCTGACTGCATGTGCACAAGCGTATAATAAATAATTGTGCTGTTATCGGTGGAAACGAAAATATTCGTGCCAATCAATGTCGAAAAAGATTGGATAAAATACAAAAAGGTAGGTCGTGGAATATGGTTTTTATAATATTTGATACGCGCTAATAGTTAAGGTCTGTGCTTCGATGTTTACTGTAAAACCGCAAAATGATATATGGTTTTGATCAGTGTTTTCTTATAACCCTGTGGCTGCGATATAATGACGATTATAATTTGTAACATTCTTATATACGTAAATACATACTTGGGAGGCAGACAAAACATGACTCTTCGTGCTTGACACCGTCATTAAAATGATTGTATGAATTAAATTACAATATAAATAATATCAATTCTTTTCGCTCATATGACTTATAACAAATTAATAAATAGTAAAACCCAGGTTAATACATTAAACGAGCTATAGTTAAACTAGGTGTACTAAATAATATTTATTAATCACAAATTATAACAAATAAAACAAGTAACCAAACTTTTGAGAATGTAAAAAAACAAAAAACAAATAAGGGCTAATGAGAGTTTTTTGCGCGGTTATTAGTGTGAAAATAAAAATCGTTTATTATCGAAAAATATAGTATAAATTAATTACGCATAAACGTTCTCACTTCTTCATGGCAAGACGGCAGGGTGGCAACTCAATCTTCTTATTCAATTGGCAATGGAATTTTACAATATACGTTCAGACATACTGATGATGGTCCAGAAGCAGGTCGAAACGTTTATGCGTAACTAATTTATACTATATTTTTTGACAATAAATGATTTTTATTTTCGCACTAACAACCGCGCAAAAAAACTTTCATTAGCCCTTATTTGTTTTTCGTTTTTTGACAAATTATAATTTTCCGACGATAAGTTTCTAGAATATAAATAATACATTTTTTCGTAGCTTAATTCAGTTACATTAAGAAATTATTCAAAAATAAAAACTTGTGTGACGTCTTTCCTTAAGTTATCTTATAATAAATAAACTTATAACATTTATTACATTATATTATAGAATTACATAATTTAGAAATGGCTATCGTAATAAATACTTCGAGATTCCGAAAAAATCGCGTGACCAAAAAACAGGCGATTTTTTAATTACTTTTGTTCAAACATTTTTCAAAAACCAAATTATTTATATTTCTTGCCTTCACATTTGATTCGATTAAAATATTCCTAAATAATGTATAATTTCTACTTATATATATATGTAAAAGTAATTAAAGGTTATTTCAGAAATAACATTATTTCATAAAACAAATTTACATTTCTTAGTAAGTAAATTAAATATTGTAAATTTTTGAAAAGACATTTTATGAAAATCATCACTGTATTAACATCAATACTTCCATATGCTTTGAATTCTATTAAACTATCAGCTCTTTAAATGAAAATTAAGAAGGTCGTCTTTTACGTTAATTCATAGTGTTTAACCTTTCTGTCAATGCATATTTTTACTTTTTTTATTAATTCACCGGATATACATTATGTATTTCAGAATATAACCTCACAAAGTCGTCATAGCGTATTAGCGGTTAAAAATAACTTTATATTCTGTATTTTAAAGAATCTCCGAACAAAGAAAATTGTGATATATCTACTTTGTGTCGAAAAATCTATATATATAAAAAATTTTAATATACTCAATATCTCATGCGTATAATTGTCTTTTATTTCAGTTCAACATTGTGTTGAGTAGATGCACTGCTGTATATTTTGTATGTAACTGAATGTTTTTTGTACTGTTCTTTATTAATGCATAATATTTACAAAAATATTATTATCAACATGGAGAAATTATCGCGGACATAGTTTGCGAGGTTAAAAAGTACCGTTGACACGCTAGAGTCATAAAAAACTATTTTTAAAACACTATAATCAGTTAAAATATTTACAGTGCAAAAAGTATTTGTACAAAAAAAATATTTTTAAAATACATTATTTTTAAAAAGTAAATATTATCCAACGAGAAATGAGTCATCAAATTGATGTCGAATCGATATAAATACGATGATTTCAATATCAATTTGACGTCGATTCGACGTTTAATTGACGATCATTTCTTGTTGGATAATTAACAATTTATTCATAAAGAATAAAATAGACTGTATGTTTCTTAAAATTATATATATCAAAAAGATTTGTATTAATTATACAAAATATATCATCTGAAAAATAAGCGAAAATTAAAAACTGTATTGTTTGAATGCTCAAAAAGTATTCGTACAGACGAGAAATTTAGCTTCTAAAATCAGGAATACATGCGAAGCTCGTTTGTTTATGTTAGAACAGAATGTATTCATTGTGTGTGTGTGTGTGTGTGTGTATAAAATTGCTAATTAATATTTATTTTCTACAAATAAGGCTTTTTTTTATAACAAGTTGCCTTGTATGAATACTTTTTGCTTTCACTGTACACATTGTTCACTATAAAGACGCCTCCAGACGGCCAACATTCGCCAACATTAGCAAATATCATTCATACATATGATATACATAATTATCCGTATTGAATGTAAGCTAATATTTAACGAATATGTGCAAAATTAGCGTATACCTTGACCATGCCGTTTAGAAGCGCTTTTAGAATTATAATTTTAAATTAAAAAGAAACAGAAAAATATTAATTTTAGAATTGTTACTATATCATATATATATAACCTAGTAATGACTACGTAATGACAAACAATATAAAAATTTTTAACGTTGAACTTGAAATGAATGCGATGCATTGACAAGAAGATTAATAATACTTTATTACTATAAATATATATTTTATTGCCTTTTATAGGCAATAGAAGAATCTTTTACTAAAATGTACAAATAAAACATTAAGAATCCAGAATATTTTCATAATGTTTTTTATTCAAGGGAAGAAATTTTTAAAAAATGGCTCGGTATCTAGATTCAAAAACAAAAATTTACATTGCTCTTTGATATACATTATTGATTAATTTTGTAATAATGTTTATCGTTAGTTTAAATTAAAGTACCTAATAGATATTGACATATCTATGGAATATTATGGTTATTGTATAAATAAAAGTCAATTTTAAAAAATTCTATACAAAAATACAGAAGAAAAAATATCTGATGTTTCTTCTCTCAAATATTTCTGAAATATTTTTAAACCTAGATACATCTTTGATCAAGGTCCGACGCACGTACTTTGTTTGACTTTTTTTTAGCTTACAACTAGTTGGATTCCGGCATCGGTACTTCGGATAATATAGAATGGGTCCCGTCTCCTTTGTTTAATACAACACTTTTTATGAGATTCTCGGACGGATATTTAAGATCATAGGCTTGTCCTAATTTTGCGCAAATATCGATAAAAACGGTGGTGTAATTAAATCTATTATTTCCTTTTTCCGACGATCTGTAATCCCATGGAAACACGTGGTGAAAATTATGATAACCTTCTCCTGTTGTCAGAATATTAACAAAATTGTTATCTGACGGTTTTATGTTCCTGAAAACAAGAACTGTAATTAATTCGTGCTTATAATTATATTAAAAATCCTTGAGACCAGTAAAAATGCATGCATTTTCTCTCGAATATGTTAACTCCTAAACGTCTTTTTCACATAGCATATTCGACTTTTGTTCTACTGTTTTTTCCAATATTTTTTCCATTGCTTATCGCCTTTTTATTAATAAGCCCACACAACACATTTTATCCGAGGGACATTTTGGAAACAACTTTAGGACATGGGATGTTCTTTGGACGACTTTGGACAGTTCTGTGCAGTATGAGAAGCCATACATATATTTGCTTGGTTACTTGCTACTGTTACGTTTTTTAATATCTTACATTTCAATTAACAAAAATATTTTATGATATGTTCATTTTTAAAAGGTATAAGCAATTAAATTGGATTAGGTATAGCATATATTAGTTGTTATCATAATGATATGCATTTAAGAATTAATTATTTAGTCGTAAGACAATTATCCGCTATCGGTAGAGGAATAAATTCATTAAAATTATGAAAATTTATGATACATTTTTCTCTACATGAGATAAGAATTTTTATTATTCAAGTGTGTAAAAATCCAAATTCTAAATTATATCGTGATTACACATTCAAATTACGTACTTATCATATGGCTTAGTGCCCCACACATGAGCAATGCTATTGACAGACCACACGGCGTTTAACGCCACCATGTATCTTATGAATATTTGCGATACAATAGCTCTGTTCCATGTCTCATTCCATAGATATACAGGTACTGCCGTAGGTAGGATGAAACAAAAAAAAAGTTGAAGAAGCCAGAAGTACCTACAAAAATGTAACTTTGATTTTTTGAATTTTATTTATATCGCCTACTTGCTTCTCAATAGCGATGTAATTAAAAAATATATTCTCCTTTTTCAAACAATTAAAAAATATCAAATCATTTTTAGTTGCTTGCAAAAGAAGAATGAAAAAAAAGAAAGAAAATAATATTTTAAAAGAATATACTTTTATTACTCTGTAACAAATTATTATTACATCAAAATTGCGTTACACCAAAATAATATTACAAAGTTTTAATGATTCGACGCATTCAAACTTATTTTCTGAAAAACTTTGTTTTCGATTATGTAGCAAATCAGTAATATGTTTATATAGTCTATAAATTTAGAAATATTAGATTTTATAATAGAAAATTGTCGAATTTATGTTTTGCGTAAGGAGAATAAAATTATTATATTACACCGCGTGTTGTATAATTAATATACAAGTTAGTATGACGGGTTGCTTATTCGAGCAAGCACACAAAGTCAAATAACTGCGTAGATCCATTTGAACGACATAATCAATCACGGAGAAAAATGTTTGTGCAAAAGGACTGCAAAATTTAATTCTCAAATTTGTTTGCTATTTATGACAAACAAGTCTGCATTTTTAACAAATATTTCACATTTGTTGCATACATTTGTAGCGAGTACAAAAAAGTAAATAAATATTTGTTACACTTGCAAATTAACATTCATAGCAAATTTTTTCTCTCCGTTATGGTACATTTTTTTTCAATAAAGTTGATAGTATATTAAAATTAAATCAAATTATTATGGACACAATTATGACGGACTTCTGTAGTAATAGATTAAAATAAAAGTTAAAGTAACAATATAAGTTATAAAAATGGAAGTTTATGCAGTTATGAACGATCTGCGCACCCGCTTGAATAGGCAACCCGTTATACTGACCGTATGTTGGTGCAACATCTTGTACATTCGACAGAATAAAGCAAAGTATTTGATAAAAAAAATATAATATATGCAAGCTTACACATTACGGATATTTGTATATAATTATTTGCATTATTTGAGTTTTTTTATTATATTTAAAAAATAATGAAATTGTAAAATAATGAATGTATGTAGCCTACAATTAATTAAATTTACCTTTCGCCGAAAACCACAACAGGATCTGACAAAATATCCGATAAATCGAGCTGCTTGCTCTTTTTAATAAATTCCGGATGTTCTTTCATAAACACCCATCCCACATGCCCATAAAAGAAGCCGCGTTGAGAAGTGTGAGGATCAGCATTAGTATCGCAATATTTATGGTGCATACGATGATTTTTCACCCAACTGGATATCGTATTCTAAAAGCGCAAACAATTAAAATATTATTTACACATGAATATAAATAGCTGTGTTTAAAATATAGACATTAGCTGTCGGTCTGTTCTTTTTAGTTGAATTTATTGCTCTGTTCATTTTTCTTCTTTTTCTTAATAACATGAAAAAAAGAAAGATTGAGCGATATAAGAGAAGTTCAACTAAAAAAAAAAAAAACAGAGAGATGTTATGAATTTTGTGATAAAATCGAAGTTGATTTCTTTTAAAAAAATTTAAGAGCTTATGTGACTTCTTGACTCTTTGTAATTTTTATGCTAATTAAGCACTTACATCAAATGTTGTTTCATGTTAATGATCCGTTTTCATGTAAAAGCTTTTTTATCAGATATTGTTTACTTTGATTTTTTCGTAACGGAAGAAAACGCTTTGTGCATATACATATAATTTATAATTATTTAATAAATGTAAAAAATGATGAAGTTAAGATGGAATCACACGATGCTCGATTTCTTGAATGATAATAATGCACGCACGCATGCACACATGCATGAAATTAGCAATTATTTCTTTTGATTGATGTATGCAAGGAAATAAAATAGGCTATGAAATAATCCATAATAAATATAAAAATCATGTATATTGTATATGCAGCATGCAGCGTTCAATACATGAACGAATTCTAGCATACATCAGAGCAGGTATGACTGTATGCAAGCTATCATTCAAGAAATTGAGCATCGTGTGATTCCATCTTTACGTGTACTTGTACTTTACATATAATATACGTAAAATAACAAATTTATTGACGTTACCTGTGCACCTGCACTAAAGCATATCAAAAGTAGAATTCTTAACGGTAGCTTTGCTTTATAGGTCTTATGAGACCAAAGTCGATGAGCGCCACCAGATATTCCAATATTGGATATGATATACATAGCGAATACTTAAAAATGTGAAAAAATATATTTATGTTTATATATTTAACCAAGAAGTCAAACAATGTGTGGGATACTTTTAAAATGTTTTACAAATATATATACGTATATTTGAGAATATAAGTAACTCCGGCAAATATGCAGCGCTGGAATTTACGCCGCAGAAGTTAGAAAAAATAGAAGGAGTGGGGTAATTTTCCCGCAACTACTCTGTTACATGCCTTTATGTTATATTAATATTGAGTTATGATTTCAGCTTCTTATTGTTAATATTAATGAAATTATTGTGAGTTGAATCGATTTGTCACTGTAATAAATAGCGCCATCGTAAATTATAATCTATATAAAATAATTACTGTAGGGCGTGTAAAAGACTTAGTGGTTATTTCGTGATACATATACATATAGAAGAATAGAATATAGAAGAATATAAAGCACGTCGTATAGCAAAATACAAGTGCTTTGCTTTCGTATTCTTTGTTTAATTTGTTGTCTTGTATATCCCATCTATTTGGGATGTACGGCATTTTTTGCGGGCGGGATTTATGCCCAAAGCATACAAAAGTGTGCAAATTGAATTCAGTGCACTAAATACAATAAACGCATTACATGAAATATATGTATCTCATGTCATAACACTTGTAATACATCTGGGAAGATTGTAATTATTATTTATTACTTCATATATGCAGGGATGGGAAAGTTACTTTAAAGTTACTTTTTATTTAGAAATTAAGTACAATAAATTACAAATAATAATACAAAGCTAAACTTTCTACAAAGCTTAAGCTAAGTATAAACTTTCAGCTTTAGGGATCGCTTCAAATATTATGCGGTGTAAAAAAGAGGCTAACTCATACAGTGGACTACCAATCGACGATACAATGATTCTATACGGGCAATCCGGTTTGTGTATCTTTGGCAGTGCACTCTCGACAATGAACCATCACTGCATGACAATTGTCTGTATTGAGAATTGTCAACATAATTGCATTCCTTCCATTTTGCAAGTAAAATTCTAAGAGTTTTTATAAGCTTCCTAGGTAGGGTCTTTTTTGATTATTTCATAAGTTTCTTTATCTTGTAACATTTCGTTCACTATTTTGACATACGTATCTTTATCAAGAACGACTGTGACGTTACCTTTATCGGCATGCATTAGAATGATGTTGGGATGTTGAGTCTATAAACTCTTTTGTTTCTATTTCTAATTTTAATAATTTCTTGTCCATAAATGATGTAACAATAGGAGAGTTTACTATGTTTAGAATCGGGATTGACATCATTCGTGACATCTATTTTTTTGCCTATCGGGAATAAATTAAGTTTTTGGGTGCGGCGTACATATATTACATAATTTTCCTACATACATTACAAGTGTTATGACATGAGATACATATTTCATGTAATGCGTTTATTGCATTTAGTACACTAAATTCAATGCGCACTTTGTATGTTTTGAGCATAAATCCCTCTCGCATAAAATATATACCAGAGTTAATATTCCTATAATAAACATACACAGAAATTTTTGAGAAAATTTTAAGATTTTCAGTATATTGTTTTTCATAATACTGATTCTCCTTCTTCAAATACCATACACTCACAGCATGTAGGCGCTCTCAAAAAAAAAAAAAAGATCAAATTAATTATCTTTAACAATTTAAACTGTAAGCTTGATAATTTTATCAATATACTTTTCACAGTACAAAAAGATGTGATTGGAAAGAATTATTAATTTTAACTGTTTTGAACTAATTTGAAAATTTGATTTTATTTGAAAGAGGCAGATACACTAATAGTTAAATGAGAAAAACTTCAAAAAATTTTGGAAATCTTTTTTAAATTCCCCTAATATATATATACAAAAGCGTAAAAGTACTTACTCCATATTGTAGTCATCAAATTTTGCCAGTAGTTGAAAGTCAATAAACTATAAATACCAATAACGTGCAATAAAAAGACTTGGAGAGCAATAAACCATATTATATCAGTTTCGAATTTGAAAATACTTGGTTTTATCATTTCGATTTTTTTATTGATGTCGTCCCTTGCCATTAATTCTCATCAAATCTGTATATATGATCACAATTTCTTTTATATACATTATTATAGTACAAGCTCGAGACATAATTGTATTATGATCCATTATCATAAACGTTAATGTATAAATAAATTTTTTTGGAAGCAAAAAGATGCAATTAATAAAGTAAGATCTATTACACAAGTAGAAGTATAACGCAATTTTCAATCAAAATCTTTGCTTAATTTTACTTTATTTATATAGTTAGCAATTATGTGTATGTATATTTTAATTCTAATTGTTACATATATACATACATGATTTTTAAATATTTCTTAAATGTATTATTACAACATGTAACGTTATAAATTAAATTTTTTCGTGAATGGTGACAAAAAATAGATATTGTTTCAAGAGAACTTAAGCTTTTCTTTATTGCGATTGATAGATAATTTTCAAAAAATCGGAATACAAAATTTTGACAATTAAATGTAAAGATTTTCATAAAAATTTGCAAAAATTCAAACAACACAAAAATTATATTGATAAATTCAAATAGAATCTTATTATGAATTAAAAATGTTAGTGTATGCGTAGAAAATGTTATTTAATACTTTTTTTTACTATTTATTAAAACAAAGATATTTATTTCTTGACTGTAATAATTGAAACAAAATTAATGTCAAAGAAATAATGCATAATCAAAGTTGAAAACACAGCATCCTATCAATTATTGTTAAAAAATAAGCAAGATAATGGATAATTATACCTTGGCATGGGAATATCAAAAGTGATTTGGATGAGATGTTATACATGCCCTGATCGAGTGGTGACTGAAAAAATTCTTTACTTCAAGCTGTTTATATAAGTACAGAGTAAATCAGAGTTGTTTAACCAGTTTTTTATCCTCTATGAGAAGATTATCGATATTAAGAATTTCATTTTTTAGATCATACATGTAATCAAAACGAGCTAAAAAAATGTCTATACCGATTGAAGTTGGATCTTAAATGCCCAAATAATTCAATGTGAATAATTTTGGGCATTTAAAATCCTCGACATCTACAAGCTATATATATTATCCAAATATATAATCTTAGATTCCTGGATCCAAATACAAGTGTACAGTCCTTGTTTCCAAACGAGATTAACCGTCTCAATTACAATTCCGGGATCCAAATACAAGTGTTTCAGACCAAGAGTAGCCGTCTAAATTATAATTTCTGTGAGATACCTCCGACTTAGTTATTAATATTGTACACAGAAAAAAGACTATTCTTAAATTAACAATAATATATTCATATATAAGCAAAAATATTATAATCTTGGTTCAAAGATATCAATCTTGATTTGATTGAATTTGTTTTGATGCAAGTATTACTTTGCACTTAATTCAAGACTTGCTCAATTAAAAATCTTATATCAATACAAATTCAATTAAATCAAGATTGATATTTTTGAAGCAAGATTATAATATTTTTGCTCATATATGAATATATTATGGTTGATTTGAGAATAGTCTTTTTTTCTGTGTATGCGCAAGGAAACGATGGTTTTTTGTAACTCCATAGGGAATGAAATAAAGAAATCTATCTATTTATATATAATTCACATTAAATTATTTAAGCATTTAAGATTCAGCGGTATAGGCATTTTTCTAGTTTGTATTAAAATTATCGATTACACACTTAATTATCGATTTAACGATACAGATCGGATGCGTGGATAACATATTGTGCGAACTACTGGTTTGAGCGCGAAAACAGGCACGTTGAGTTGTAAAAATTGTTACAAGACATATTAAAAATGATGTATCCACGCATCTGATCTGTACTGCTAAATCGATAAATATACTGAAAAAAATGCATATAATTTTACATGTAATTTCCACATAAAATTACATGCATTTTTTTCAGTAAAGTGTGAGATCGATAATTTTCTCATAGGGTAAAAAACTGATTTAGCTATATATGTTATATAATAGTAAGTTTCTAGAAAATTTTGCTATTTCTTAAAAATATCAGATAATTTTATGTATCACTGCATGGTAGCAACAATTCATGTTCGTATGAAGCTAAAAAAGTTAATATGTAAATATATGGAAGTTGTGGAAATATAAATAAATTACATGCATACATAAAATAATATCGCTTTTTTTGTAATGGCATTAAAATTTGAAGAACATAATATGCGATATATTAATGCGAAAAAATTACATTATGACAAAAGCATTGTGTCAGTCGTTTTAGGAAAGATAATGATTTGAAAAATTATCTTTTTTCACACATGAGAATATAATATATACAGCGTGAATCAATCTTTTCTGATTTACCCAATGTGTAATTATATTCTTATGTGCAAAAAAAAAAACAATTTTTCAAATCACTATCTTTTCTAAAACGACTGACACAATGCTTTTGTCATAATGTAATTTTTCTGCATTAATATATTATGTTCTTCAAATTTTAATGCCATTACAAAAAGAGCGATATTATTTTATGTATGCATGTAATTTATTTAAATTTGCACAACTTCCATATATTTACATATTAAGTTTTTCAGCTTTACACGAATGTAAATTGCGATACATAAAATCATCTAATATTAAAAAAAAATAGCAAAGTTATCTAGAAACTTACTATTATATAACATATATATATATTTTAATTCTTTTATTATATAATATATAGATTATAATAATTTTTTTTCTATTCTGCTTTCTTCTGTCTTTGTTTTAATACATTTTGAAAATATATTCATTTAATTTTTCATTAATAAAATAAAATATTTCATTAATTTTATAATTGCAAAATATTTCGCAAGTAGTAATCTTGATTGCAATAAAATCTTTAAAAACACATTATAACATAGATATAGGAATTTTCGATATTATATATTCCCGTTACAATGCCTTAAATAGTTTAAATTGCAATACGGCTTTAACAGCTACCCCAGCAAACGAGAATGGGTTGAAATGAATTAAAATGGATTCAGATGTTTAGAAATACAGATTCATTAATGTTAAAATGAATCCTTTTCAATCATGAATGCATTTTTATTCATTTATAGGAATTGCATGAAACAAATGTCTATTCCTCCTCAATCTTGAATGTATTTTTATTTGCTTATAGAACTGGAGTATATGGAATCCAATCCATATTTCTATGCTTTTCAATCTAAAAATAATATTATGGTATTTTGTGTGCATCGTGAATACTGCTTAATTCAATTCAGTTGAATAAAAAAAATTTTTTTTTATGTGAATACTATTCCACTTAAAATTGTAAGAAAATCCATTGTTTCATTTGAAGATGCATCACGAATGCTATTTTATTCAGAATTATGAATAAGAAATTTTTCGTTTTAATTCAACTGAGTTAAAAAAGTTGTACCGTAAAAATATATTATGAATTCTACTTCATTTCCTCTCTTAAAAAAGCCATAAAAAGAACTACGTAAATATGTGCAATGAAAGTTATATATGTAAATTCCTTATTTTTAATTAATAAATTAATCGTCTTTATATATATTTTATATTAAGACGTTTCCTTTATTATACATCTAGCATAGTTTTTTATGTAAAAGTTTTAAAATAATAACTATAGAATTTCATGTAATTACTACTTTAATTTATTTAAACTTTTACATCTATAAAAATTTTTTATATGGAATCCAATCCATTTTTATGGATTTAAAACACGGATTCAAATGGATTGAAAATTTCCAATCTATTTCAATCCATTTTCGTTTGCTAAGACATCAATTATTACCTAAAAGCTCGTTACAAAATACAATTTATTAAATAAAAATAATCTTATAATGGCTCAATAATAATAAACAATAAATAACAAGAAGGTGTTATAAGCCAGATTTTTATGTATTTTAAATTCTTAGAACATACGTTTCGGCCTTGTTATTAGGTCATCCTCAGTGTAAAGAAATTAAACGCAAATTTGACAAAACGGTTAAAATTATACAATTTATAGTTACGCAAAAAGTGTTTATAGTATTTATTCTATCTATCTTCCGCACAATGCAATGCTTTTCGTTCTGGTATTATTATCGGTTATATTCTTCCATATAAGTTCCATATACAGTCACAATAAGTCCATAATGATAAAAATATTGAACATGATGAGTCATTAAATAAAAATGTACCAGCACACATTCTGTTATCAAATTAATAAAATAGATTATAAAAATAAAAATAACAATGAATAAATGATCGTTATATTCAAAATTATTAGTATATACAATCCTTATTTTAATAGACAATTATATTAAAGTGTGTGTTAATAAATAAAATTATTGTACATATACCTCAACTGCGATTGGTAAACCAGGATATAATCAGTAATTGAAACAATGATTCAGTTTAATTCACAAGAAGCAAATGCAATCAGAGATAAAAATAGAAACCAGTTCAATCAAATTGCTTGTATTGTATTATCAAGTGTGAGCGTCATTCTGGTACTTTATATCATCGTTAAGAGAAGGGATGAGATTGGAAGGGGAACAGAGATAAGAAAGGAAGGGAAGAAAATACGAAGGAGAAGAAGGCTGCAAAATTTGTAGATAAGAATTAGGTAACGCTTCCGTGTCGTTTTGTTTGTCCAATCCCAATTTTTGTTTTCTAATGTGAACCATTTCGGAGATCAATCTTTTATTGTACGATGGTTTCTTGTCTAAGATCTTTACATCTTTCCAATTAAACAATAATAATAATAAAATAATAACTAAATGAGTTATAGGACTCTTTAAATCACGACCGATAAGACAAAAATTCGTAAAGAAGGCAATGGGAGTCAATCTCTAGCTGTTAAAATTTCGAGAATTTATTACATTAAAAATACCATATAACTCTGTACGTTTCTTGTTTGAGTCATGTTCAGCAAAATCCAACATTAATAAGTACAGCAAAAAATGAATCGCAGTCAGTTCATTTCCAATTCAAATTGTGATTGTAATTAATACGATGGTCAGTAATCACTAATAGAGAATCAGTCTTTTTATTAATGTCCGGAATATGTTCATTTAGTTTTGTTTTTAATTTTCTTTTGGTTTGTCCTACATAATCGGCTTCACAGTTATCACAAGAAATTTTATATATAACATTTCGATTAGCTAAATAATCCAGTCTATCTTTACCTCTACACTGTTAGAAATTTCTCAATGAATTTTAATTAACATGTAAAAGAAGCATGTGATTATGCACGAACTTAAATGTAATGAATGATGTAAATAAAAACTAAATTACAGTAGTCTTAAATGTGATGAACGTATGTATATATTGAAATTAATGAACACATCATTATAGAAATTAATTTACACGTTAATGAAAAAAGTACGAGATCTGTAATTGAAAAGTAATTTACGTTAATGACATGTAAGAAACGTAAACGTATTAAATGTTAAGCGTTAATAGTATTAGGCTCAATTAAAATATTATTAATATTCGTAAATGTAAATGTACATTAAATTTCATTAATATGTACATTAATAGTTATTTCAATTACGATTAATTAACCCTTAGCGGCCACACGGGGTGACTTTGTACCCCAAGGCTTAGGAAAAGTGAAATTAGAGGTCTAAAACATTTGAAATTGATACAAGTATCGACATCTGTCACTAGTAGACACGTGTGAGATGTGACTCCATTACATAGGAAGCCGAAAAATCGCATGGCGGCGCTTTGAATGTTCGTTTTCTCGACGTTTTCATTTTTCCCTCATAACTGTAATTTTGCAAAATAAATATACTTTTTGAAAGATTGGCGTATACTGTTATTTTTTTATGGTAGTGGTGTATCTTGTGCGTACAATCCTAAAATTTTAGCCCTTAATATTGAAAAATGGCGGAGTAATGAATTTTTTTCTGAAAAAAGTCATTTTTGCCGAATTTTCACATATATGACCAGTTTTTAGAGCGCCATCTATAAATTGACTAATATAAATCATTAGAAATGTTGAAGAACTGTTCAACAAACATGAAACAATCGATTAGAAATCTTAAAACACCCATATATCTTGTATAACTAATTTTTTTAGCTATATACCCCGGTGTAGCCGCGATGTGGCCGGGCTGAGGTGTGGCCGCTAAAGGTTAAATGTTATTTATATCCGTAAATAAAAAGTATATTAAATTTCATTACAAATTTCAGACATGTATAGGTCGGATTTTGATCAAAGATATATCCAGGTAATTTAAAAAATTGTTTTTTTTTTTTAAATAGAATTATCTTAATAAAATGTAAATTGTTATATACAGTAGAACCTCGATTATCCGACCTGATGTGACTCAAATTAGGTCGAATAATAAATAAGTCGGATATACGAGGGTCGTCTGAAAAGTTTTGAGCCTAACATATAAACAAGTAATTTTTCGGTCAAATTCAATTTTATTTTTCCACATAGTCTCCTTTTAAGTCGATATATTTTTTCCAGCGATGCTCCCACCCCTTTAATCCATTCAAATAATACTGAGCGTCTTGCTTTGCAAAATAGGTCTACAGATGCGATGACCTCCTCGTTCGATGAAAATTTCTGTCCTCCGTGCAAAACTTTGAGCCTAGGAAAGTAGGAAACAGAAAAAAGTCGCTGGGGGCCAGATCTGGTGAATACGGTGGATGGTCAATTAATTCGAACCGCAATTCGTGAATTTTGCCATAGCGACCGCCGAAGTGTGAGACGGTGCGTTATCTTGATGGAACAGCACTTTCTTCTTTTTCAAATGCGGTTGTTTTTTCTCAATTTCTGCCTTCAGCTTGCCAAGCAATGATGCGTAATACGTCCTTGTTATTGTTTTACCTTTTTCAAGATAGTCGATCAACACAATTCCATGACTGTCCCAAAAATCAGTCGCCATCACCTTTCCCGCCGATAAAACCGTCTTCGCTTTCTTCGGAGCAAGTTCACCCTTCGCAGCCCACTGTTTTAATTGTTCTTTCGTTTCAGGAGTGAAGTGATGGACCCATGTTTCATCAACCGTTATTAATCGACGCAAAAAATCCGACTCGTTTCGCTTAAACCGCTCCAACAGGGCCTTAGAAATGTTCATTCGAATGCGTTTTTGATCCAGAGTGAGCAAGCGCGGCATCCATCGCGCGGTTAACTTACGCATGCCTAATCCTTCAGTCAATATACGACAAACACGTTCTTTTGACATGCCAACAGCCTCTGCTATCTCCCTAATCTTAATTCGACGGTTGTCCATTATCATTTGATGAATTTCTTCGATGTTATCGGTGGTGTTCGCAGTTGTTGGCCGTCCCGAACGCTCATCATCAGCTAAGCTGGTACGACCACGTTTAAATTCAGTTACCCATCTTTTCACGGTGGCAAATGATGGGGCAGAGTCCCCGTAAACAGCGTCCAACTCGGCTTTAATTTGTGTAGACGTATTGCCTTTCAAATGCAAGAATTTAATTATAGCACTATATTCAATTTTTTCCATTTTTACAAAATGACACAAATGATTGTCAAACAAGAACTGAACGTCCAAAGTGGCCACAATTGTCACGGATATCTTTCGTAAGTATCACGATTATAATACCAGAATGGCTTTGACGAGTAACGCCATCTTCATGATGAGGCTCAAAACTTTTCAGACGACCCTCGTATGTATATATACATATAGTATAACCAGTGTTATATTTTATATTTGGTAATTATTCAGAATACACGCATTTTAGTGTGAAAATGAAAACAAGAGGAATAATCTCCAAAACCCTTGACAAATGTTATTAAGGTCATGACCCTGAACAATATTTAAAAGGTTTTAACCAGCAGTTAGAACCTCAGATAATGCTCTCTCTAATGCCAGCGGTACTATAACTTTCAAGCCTTATATATTGTAACTCAGAAAGTATTTAATAAAGAAATATTTTATTAAAGTGTTTTGAAGAGATCTTCAAAACACTTTAACAAAATATTTCTTTATTAAATACTTTTTGAGTTACAATATATAAGGCTTGAAAGTTATAGTACCGCTGGCATTAAAAAAAATTTGATATGACCTTGGCGATACCACCCAAGGTCAAATTGATAAAACCGGTTGATAGTCCTTTTTAATCTCTATCATTTTCATCTGAAACAGTTTTCTATGAAATTTATATTTTTTGCGCTTATTTGTTGACTTTGACCTGCTCTCCTGCAAAAACTACTTATCGGACGCAATTTTGCAAAAGGAAAAAATTGTTTCTTTTTTAGCGTAAAGTCTTGTACTTCGCGGGTGCGAATTTGAAAATACCTTGTATATAAAAAATAAAATAATTATACATAAAATAATTTAGTATCAAATTACCTTAGTAATTTAAACTATAAACTTGATATTTCATCAATTTTTGGCAGTACAAGAAAAAGATGTGATTGGAAAAAATTATTAACTTTAACTATTTTGGATTACATTGAAAATTTGATTTTATTTGAAAGGGACTGATAAACTAATAGCTGATAATGAGAAAAATTTCGAAAAATTTTGTGCATCTCTTCTTTAAATTCCCCTATATACAAAAGTGTAAAAATCCTCACTCTATATTGTAATCATTAAATTTTCTCAGTTGTTGAAAGTTAGTAAACCAATAAATGCCAATAGCGTGCAATATAAAGAAAGAGAGCAATAAATCGTATTATGTCATCTTGAAAACACTTGATTTTATCATTTCGGATTTTTTACTGATCAAATCTGTATTGACTGTCAGAACTTCTTTTATATACTTTTTTATAACATAAAATCGAGAAATAATTATATTGCGATCCTATGTTATATTATTATCTAAATTATTATGAATGTTAAGATATAAATAAATTTTTTTGGAAGCAAAAAGATACAATTAATAAAGTAAGATCTACCGCACAATTAAAAGTAACGCAATTTTCAATCAAAATCTTTGTTTAATTTTACGTAATTTATATGATTTATATAATTAGCAATTATAACGAATTCTTATAAAATTGATAATAAAACTTGTGCCTTAAGAATAATATATTAGGTACCCCGCATATACCAATTTTATCGAATATCTATGTAATTTTATTTAAAGACAACATTTATAATTTGCGTCTATCTATTCGCATAAGAATGATATACTATTTATATTTATAATTTTATACAACGTGTATTTTTATGTATATGTACATTTTAATTTTATGTTATATATATATATATATATATATGATTTTTAATTACTTCTTAAATGTATTATACAATATATATTATATTTTATGAATTTTGTCTCATAAAATAAATATTATTTCAAGAAAACTTAAGCTTTTTTCTTATTGTAATAGATTGATAATTTTCAAAAAATTGGAATACAAAATTTTAATCCTTAAATGTATAATAAAAATAGTTATAAAAATTTGCAAAAACTCAAACAATATAAAAATTATCCCTTAATAAATCAAACTAATCAAGACTCCTTATAAATCAAAGAATTGGAAAGTGTAAGGGCACTAGGAGTCAGGCGCAGTTGGTGTCGTTCGTACAC